ACTCGAATACACCAGGTGAATAAAAACTACACTGAACACTCAAAATGGGTATCGTACCCTAAAGAAATAGGAGTTTCCGTAGTTGAGCTCCTTCACACGGTTTGCAAATGCAGTGTAAGGATCCCTGTCTTGAGCACGGACCACTTCTTCTGCCATTTGCATCACTATTTTGACATCTTCTTCTCCTGGTATTATATTTGTCGTAAACAGTTGATATACAAGCTGCCAGAACAAATATTGCAAAAGTTTTGCAGCTTCAGACAATATTGAAAAACCATGAAAAATAAAGAGAACTCCTGGCATAAAGACAAACCATGATTTTTTTAATCTAAATTTTCAACTGACAATACTCTTGTAAAATTGCAATCATGAGAGAGAGAATCATGAAGCACACCTGCAAAGCAGTTTCCAGGTCTGAGGGTGAACAATCACCAACAAAGCTTCTCATGTATGCTCCAAGTTTTGGGCTGACTTCGGCTCTCTTACCAGCAAGCATATCCATAAGAACAGAAGGTCTATAACCGTATACACCAATTTCTCCTGCAATGGTTGGCCCCATTGAGCAAGAAAAGTACTCACTTTCAGGAAGTTCAGATAAACCGCCATATGAGAACCCTGTAAAGATAACCTATGAAAATAAAGTATCGATAAGAATCACAATTCTACACGTAAAAATGACTGACACATGCTATACAACAACTTTCAGAACTTTGCTACTAACATACATGACAACAGAATGTCATATGAGACGGAAATTTCTCTACTGATGATTGGAAAGGAACAATATCAGATAAATTTCTCTTTCAGCCTTGAATTACTAAATGTTCCTTTCATTCATCGGAAATAGAGTTTCTTCCTTTCTCTTTCATCCCTAGCTTTATAGAATACTGATCAATTACTACAATGAATGTTCTCTTATGTTCAGAACTACAACTTCAAAAAACCAAGCGACAAATTGACGAAGCTTTAGAGCAAACTAGAATAATGAGATTCACACATTCAGAACTACAACTTCAAACAACCAAGTGACAAATTGATGAAGCTTTAGAGCAAACTAGAATAATGAGATTCACAGAGTTTGTCCATCGATCTTGAACTACAGATATTTCATTGACTGCACTGAGTTCACCTGGTCATCGAGGAAGTTGGTACACTTATAGCAAACTCTCATTCCGTTTGACAAAATTAACTCAGTAGCTTCAATATTTGAATATTCAACCTGCTGTACAATATTCCTGAAACAAATAATTTATAAAGGGAATGAATGTACAACAAATAATTCATAGAGCCGATAATGGATGTAGAAAATGCAAAAGAAATAAAAAAAACCACAAAACTTACACACAGAAATGATTCCCACGTGAACTGGAGAAGGAATAAAACACACACACACACACACACACACACACACAAGGGAGAAAAATATATAAATAAATATGATGATATGAATTGCTGACACGTTAGGTCCAAAAATACCCCGGATTAGGTTTTGTATTAACAATTTCCTCTGGAATCTGCTCCTCATCCCAAGGAGAAATTATTCTTTCTTCCTCAAGGCGATTGACCTTTGATACAACATGTTTTAGATCATTGGCTATTGCAGAAGCTCGTGGCTCAATTGTCTTAATGACACAGCTACATGATGTCTGTAACTTCACTGCATATTTGGATACCTCTGCTGCAGTTATATCTACAGGTATAAAAGTTGGGATGAGAACAGCTATACATTTCTTTTATAACCATCAAATTACAATATCCAAATATGCAATGACTCACGAGGTAGAAGAGTCTTCTGGAGTTGAGCTTCATATTCAATCCCAATAACAGGTTCATTGCGGAGAAAATGCTGCCCAAAGAAATACAAGGGCATAGCATTTTACCAAATCAATACAAACATTACATAAGAAAATTGTAAGTTTACAAGAAAATCACAATCTAAAATACCTGTAAATATTCATCACGTAAGCTAGTTGATTGCATTTGATCACGCTCCAAATAGGCAGATTCAATCTCTGACATCAGTAAAGCTCGAACAATAGACACCTCCCGTTCTGAAAAGCCATGTAATCGTACCCTTGCAACCTAAAATAGTGAAATGTAAGTGTTATTAAAAGTAGTTCCAAATTAAAAAGAAATCAATCAAGTATATTTCTAGTATTGGATGAAAACCCTGCCTCAATCAGCATCGATTCTAGCGCCTCAACAGTCCCCTTTTCTTTACAAGATGAAGTCATTATATAAGCCTTCAACGGATTAACAAGAACGTCGGCAGAAGCCGAGCATGAAAAATAGGGCGGGTCCGTTTTACGAGATATTTTAAAGAACCTCTGGTTTAGAGCGTAAAGGAACATGGACTCTGCCAGTAAATCCCTATAGTCCCTCACTGTTTTCAGCTCATCAGCTGCCATCTTATAGCTAATAATCACTGCAGACTGTCACAAGAAATTTTCTACATTAGAACTGAAATGTTCCATTTAGACTGGTACAAACACAAGTGTGATTTATTCCGTACTAACCCCAGAAGCTTCAGATTCAACAAAACATGAAAAACGCGGCTCTTCATGAGAAGGAACTGGATAACTTGGTATAGGAGGAGGGTCAGGTGCTGAAATTTTATGTCCAAATTGATCCCTTATCAACTCTACTACATTCTGAGAGAAAGGAAGAGAGAGATTGTTAATAAATCTTTTCTACAAACTACCCTTATAAATCCAAAGTAAACATTAACATGTCAACAATACCAAACCTGCGTATCAGAGAAATCTCCAACAGCTATCACTGCCATATTGCTTAAATGGTACCACTTCTTATAAAATTGCTTCACAGTCTCAGGAGAAACAGTTCGAATCACCTTCTCTAAACCAATCGGTAAACGCTCAGCATACTGCATTCAAAGAAGGTTTTGCACACTCAGAATGCTGTTGGAGTGTAAAAGCATTAAAGGTCATGACTCATTTTATAGAATAAAAAACCTCCTGATCAAGGTAGTCCGGGAATATAAGCCTTTTAGTGGAAGTACCTTAGAATCTTCCATCATCAGAATCCAATGTGCATCCTGCATCCTTCCTGTAGCATTTCGGTTTCCTCTGTACTCTTCCATAACAGCACCCCTTTCTCTTTCTAAATCATCTTTTGAGACACGAACCTGGAAATTGCAAGTAATTAAACCAAGGAGTAAAAATGTTGAGGATTACCGAACAAGGTGAAACTAGTTTATACCTCAGAACTGAATTCGGCCAAAACTGAAATGGCCTCAGATAACAGCTCAAGCTTATCTACAGGAACAAATAACTCGTAAACAGTGTCATCGGCGGATGTAACTGCATTCTGACAAGCGCCAAATTCTGCCCCGATACTTTCAAGAAACCTTACTATATCATGATTTGTGTACTTCTTAGTTGCACTGAAAGCAAGATGCTCAACAATGTGAGCAACTCCTCGTTCGTCCTCCTCTTCCAAAACTGATCTGCCATGAACCCGATAATATAAAAAACCCTCCACAGATTCCAGCATACATTCACACATGAAAGTTCCGAACCTATCTAGTCAGTAGGCTTTTGCTAACTCAACAAAGAATACAATTTTCCAACTCAAGCACCGTCATTGTGGGAAAAACACCATTAGTTTAGTTTTCTAAGCGGTGTCGCTATGTTTACTTCAACCCATGTGATTTCACTTTAGTTACTTGGTAATTCCCAAGGGGGAAACACAAATTTTCCTCTTATTCACTCAATACATTGCTCGGTTTCGGCATCTATAATCAAAATCTCACCAAAATCTCAGTTCATTGTCTATGGGTCAAATCACATTACCCTAATTCCACAGTACAAAACCAACTGACCAACCAAATTCAACAACCTAGTTCATCAAACCCCATTAACAACACAAAACAACTAAATTAAGCAGACAAAAGCAACCGACCCAAGCAACACAAATGAACGATCAAACAAACAAAACCAATAACAGTTAAAGAAAACAAACCCAATTGGAAGTACAAACAAAAAAAAAAAGGAATTATATATACACATACCCAACTTTGACAGCAAGAGCGAGGGCAGCTCTCATTCGGGGCTTAGAATTGCAACGGACATAGTAAGAGAGGCCATTGTCAAGCCTGCCGTAGTCAACTCCGACAGGTTGGTCTCCGAGCTCCTGGTCCATGTCTACGGTCACCAGCTTCAGCGACCGGAACCCATGTTTCTTCACTATCTTCGAGGTGGTGGTCTCCGCCGGAAGCAAATCCATGTCCTTCTGTAGCAATTTCCGAATTGGGAAATTTGGGACTCACTTAAAAGTTGCAGATTTCTGTTGGCTGATGGCAAAGATTGAAAATTTGATAATATTAACAAAAAAAAAAAAAAAAATTGTGTCCGTATCTTGGGCCTCAGCCCACCCGAAATAGACTGGGGCCCTTACTTGTTTCTCTGGATTTGACTGTTAAGGGCACGTTTGTTACATGTGTTGTATTAGAAATATGGATAACGCTGCTCAACTTTTAAGAGTAATCTCATATTTGTTCAAATTTTTTTTTTAAATATTCTAAATAACTACTTAATATTTTAGAACATAAGCGTTCGTTAGGTCACCCAAATTAAGCGATTAAGTCACTACTGTTTACGGATGATATAGACAAATAACAAAATTGATTTTCATTAAGTTGCCATTTTGTGGAGCTCTGAAATCTAAATCCTCATGGATCGATTTGAGTTTTAGAAATCCATAGAAGAGTGAGAGTAAAACCCCGCTTCAATATTTTTTCGTGTTATCACCTAAGGCTAGTGACTTAACATATGCTCACTTTTCAAAACATTAAATAATTATTTAAAACGTTTTGAAAAGTTAAGATCAATCTAAAATCACTCGTAAAAAAAGTTCTTTTATGTCTCATAAACACTTATTTGTTTCTCTTTTTAATGTTAAACGTATTTAAAAACATACTTAATTGCCCGCATCACTGTTGTTTAATAGTATATTATTATTCATGCACACTTGTAAATAAAATGTTTCAAGTTTTAATTTTAGTGGGCGACGAGGTCGATGCTATTTTATCTTACTGCTTTCAGAAACAGCCCAAACAGCCCCTCACTTTGCATTGCTTCACTCTCCGAGTCTTTCACTCTTCAGCTCCGTTCAGCTTACAGAGGCGCACGTTAACCATGCTTAATCTACACACCCGCTCACCCGTTCTTCAACCTCCCTGCACTCCCTTAGCCATGTTTTCCCGCAACACAAACCGCTTCCCGCCATTTAGTACCGTTGGACTTCACTTTCAGGGCTTTTCTGCACAGCCGGGGGAGCACGGGACCTCCGTATTCGTTGCAAAAGCGGGTCGGGGCCTAAGGCTGAAGACCCAGAAAGCGAGTGACGGAGAAGAAGATAAAGACGGCGGCTTTGTGGATATAGATTTCGAAGTTGCAGCTGAATCCGAAGACGGGTTTCCGGGTCGGACCGGCTTCGGAGGGAGAGAGGAAGAAAAGGACTTTGATCGGGATCCCGAGTTTGCTGAAATTATGGGTGCTTGTCTTGATGACCCAGAAAAAGCTAGGTCCAAGGTAATCCCTATTTTTTGGATAATTTGATGTTTGTGTTGTTTGGAATTGTTGAGGTTTAAGGATTTTTTTTAATGTTTAAGGATGTTTGAACCAAATTGCAGATGGAAGATAGGTTGAGGAAGAAAAGGAACAAGATTTTGCAGACAAAGTCTGGTTCAGGGCTGCCCATGAATGTGACATTCAACAAGTAAGTTCAGATGATGTAGGAACACAAGGCAATTTGTAAGTGTGATTTTTGGTCCATTTTCTGGATTGTTCGTGCTGTGATGCTTAGTATTGTATCCCGATGAGCCGAAATCATAGCTATTAGTTATAGTTCAGTAGTAACACTGAGTAATGAAGTAAGTTTTGAACGAGCCTCTCGAAAGCTTGATGGACAGCGCACGTCAGAAATTTTGTATAAACTGCTATTTTGATTTATTTTCAATCTAATTGTGAATTTGTGCATTAAGGATGTTTACTCGATGAACTAAGACCTTATGTCTTCTTTGAACGTATGTGATCTTCGTTTCTTTTGGTATGGCTTCTTTTCGAAATGAGTCAAATGACTGCTATTAGGTTGAGGAGCTCGGGATCGAAAAAACCCAACTGGTTTCACTGTCCTTATGTGTTGTATGCTCCAAAAAAAGGGAACCCTGTTCTCGTTCCTAGAACTAAGCTCTAGCAGCGACTTTTGATGGGTCAGACGAAATGCATTGTACCTAATCGCTGCTTCTTTGTCATATGTTACATTGTCAAGCTATCACCGGTCTTGTTTGTTCAATATCTGCCGAAACAGTACAGAATTACTAACTTGCTCTTTGCTCTTGGCCACTGACAGCTTTGGTTTTTCAAACTCGTATATATGGTTTGAATTCTACAACACTCCATTGGAGCAAGATGTTACCTTAATCTCTGATGTAAGTAACTTATCTTACCTTGAGATTGTATCACTTTGTAATGTATGCAGTAACATAGTTGACCTGGCTTGTCTACAGACCATTCGATCATGGCACATCATTGGGCGCATGGGTGGATGCAATTCCATGAATATGCAGGTAAATTTTCAACCACTCTTTAAAATTTTGGTTTAGACTTCATGAGTCGATAACCAGTAGAAATATACTGTACATGATGCGAATTTTTGAGGCATACGTCCTCACCCTCTTTAATTTCATTCATGCAGTTGTCACAGTCTCCTTTCGATAAACGACCAAGTTATGATGCGATTCAGGGAGCAAATGTGACCCCAACTACTTTTTACAATATCGGAGATCTTGAGGTTCAGGACAACTTAGCACGTGTTTGGTATGGAGCTCAACTAGTATTTCTAGACATGCTGTAGTCTTTATAATTTGAGACTTTACCGTGATGCTTCGTTTCATGCTTATGCTTTTATGCCATTGGGAATGGAAGTGCAGATGGTTCTTGCTCACCAATCTGATGAAAATTTTGGCAGGGTGGATATCGGCACCAGTGAACCATTGCTACTGGATGTTCTAATAAACGCATTGACTCAGATAAGCTCCGAGTGCGCCTCTCACATCCCATATCTTCCACGCATCTTCATTCACCTCTTCTGATATTGCGTGTTTAATGCCTTGTCCTAGATTCAAAAGCTTTTTCGCTTCTTATTTTGGATGTTCATTCTTACTCATATCCCTTGATTGGTGTTAAACAGCTTTGTCGGAATCAAGCAAGTGGTGTTTGGTGGATCTGAATTTGAAAACTGGAAGGAGAACATGACATCAGAGGATGCAGGTTATAGCATCCACAACATTTAGCCAATTCGTGGTGCATCGGAGATTTCTATACAACGCAGTTAAGTCATGGCTTTTTACGCTCAACATCTGAAAATTGAAGATCTCAGACTTGATACAAGTGCAGTCAAGATTGTAGACGTTGGGGCAAGCCAATTCGGTGATAACTTCAAGTCGCGTACCTCGTGTTTTTTATCCTCGTGGTTTCAGTTATTTGGATTATGGAAAATTTTGGAACTTGCACAAAATACATTGACAATTTTCTTCGCACCTTTTTCCTTTCGTTGGAAACTTTGTGATTTATATATGTTCATTTCCACGGAGAAACTTAAGTGTAAGATTTTCGACAAAACAAGGACATGAACGGTAGCGGAGGAAGGAGCAAGGGGGAGTGGAGGAAGAAGAAAAGGTTTTGGTTCCTGGGGCGAGACGAGAATACGAGTAGACTCGGTTCACAACAATTATGAATGAATAAAAAGTTACGGAAGTAGCATGTTAAAGGCATTAGCTGCTCAATTTCACTAGTAATAAGGTTGTGCAAATATTCTGATAACATAAGCTAGAATCACGCATAAGCTCAGTAATTTACAGAAAAGCTTCCTCCGATATCCCAATCCACAAAACCAGTTTTCGCCTAACAAATTGCATCACTGGGTTAACTGCAACCGCATCAGAAAAATCGAAGTCCATCATGATGCCTCCGAAGCGGGGGAGATCTGCGAAGACACTTTCTCAGCTACTGATTTGATCTCTTTCACTCTCTCCTCAACTAATTGCTGGAGTTGCTCTTCCTGATTTGGTTGATTTTCGTCTATCTGAACAGTACCAGTAGCTTCACCGGCCTGTGACCTGAACATGACAAATGACATCTCCGGCTCATATTCGCTTGGAACTTCAACCACTCGCTTCCCACCCGCCCCAGAATCTTTTCCTATGAGATCTTCCTTCATGCGATTAGAAATAATTCCCACAAAATCCTCCTTGTACTTGTCCACAGGATCAAGGCCGAGATAAAGGAAAACATCCCAGCACTGAAGAAACTGTTTCTTGTTAATTTTCAAACTTTTCCGGGCATCCTCAATGACACTAGTAGCTGGCATGAGTCGAGGAGTGTGTGTCTTCTTCGACAACTTTCCTTGCTTCAGTTGCGAAACTGCTGAGTTAACCGCATCCTTGATTGGGTCGAACTTATGAAGGCGTAGTACATCAACACAGGTACGTACATGTTGGAAGTAATCTAATGGTTCTTCAACTGTGAGGTCATGGACGTTTTCAGATACTGCAACATCATTGAGAGCCTCAAGAAGGTATCGTCCATATCCCTTGTGTTGGTAAGGAGGCAATACCAATATCTGACATCAACAAAGATTCTAGTAAAGAACAGCACGAATAGTGCTTAAACAATGAAGTTAACGAGAAATACTACATAAGTGTTATTGACAAGGAGCAAACCTGACTGAGCCGCAACCGAGAACTATCAGGATAATGGTAAAAACGATAAACAGCTGTTAAACCAAGCAATATATTGTAGATGTCCCCCTTCTCATCCATTTTGTTCTGGATCAGGACATACAGCTCCCATCTTGGATCCACGACATCGATCGGACTGCTACCTAATCCAAAAAACAGCAACTGATGTCACAGTAAGTCATGTACTGCACTCCCCTCCCCTCTCTTTCCATAACAGAAGGAAACTACCAGTGTTGTCTGATAAGACAAGGTAAGTGAAGAGATTACCATCAACAAGAAGAAGAACAAGAGGAATCAAGTGACTGTAAAGGTTCCCAGCAGCTGTCTTGCCCACAACCAAGCGAACAACCTGAACATAGTCACTGTTATTGCAAAATGCAAGAAAATTTATCATATTTTAAATACTGGGAAAAAGACAAAGCTCGCCACATCAAAGCACCTGCAAATCAGAAGTGGTTGCTCCAAGCTGACCACTACAATAACTTATTTGTCCATTAGAGGTCTTGCACTGTAACACCTCCCCAGTTGTGACCATGTATCTGCACACGTATTAAATGGTGGAATCATGATATTAAGTAAACAAAAAAAGTCTAAATGTTTTTGCACTCAACGAAAGGAAAGCAAAATTCATTACCTAATCAAATTCTTCTGCGTCGAAAAAGTTTGAAGGAACTCCTCTTCACTCTCAACGAGGGTCTCAGCAAAAATTCTCTGGAGAACATTACTGACTTAGCACCAGAACTAACAACATACTAAACAAAAGTGAGGGTTTAAATTGGGAAGCAAGGCTATACCTGAAGAGCTGCCTTCAAATCGGTGATCCCTTTTCCACCCTTATATAACATTTAGAAATTGCTATCAGTAAAATTTTCTTGATAAAGAGGAAGCTAGGAGCACAAGTTATAAGCAAAGTTGGCAGATAGAACAGAGAGAGAGAGAGAGAGAGAGAGAGAGAGATCAACAGAACAAGAGTACTTACATCAGTTGTGCTCTCAAATGCAATATCAGCATACGCATGAAAGGATAAACTGCTAACCCATATCGTAATCTGCATCCACAGAAAGATTAAAACGAAGCCATTCTAAATCACTCCATTCAAACTATTAAAATAGCTTTTGACATTACTTGCACCAGTGCAGCAAATTCTGTGAAGGTAAACTTCAAATGATATGCACAAAGATTACCTTCAATCCTTTGTAACCATATATCTTCCCATCATCATCAAAAGAGCTATTCAAATCAACAGGCTCAATACAAAAACTGTCTGTAGAACCCACTTCCTCTTTGCTAGAAACTATGATCGTAGCCATTGATTAAGCATGCATGTAAAAATAGAGATATATTACTAAAATAAATTAACCACAACAAAACCATTATCATTGAATTTCAGATCGAGGAGAACGAAAGTATTATAAAAATGTAAAACATTATTATCACAGTCAACAATTAAACTTTTCCAACAAATCTGAAAATCCATAAAGCAACCAACTGCGTCTATTCTTAACATCCTCCATCTAAACCATTAAGCATTCTAGGACTTGCATCTCAATCATGTAATTATCTTATTTTCCACTCAGCCAAAAATCATCACTTTTCGATTACTGACAGAATATCAACCTTAAGTCCAATAAATCAAACTTAAAAATCAAAACTGCCATTTTCCGCCACCGCAGTTACTGATTAATCAAACAGCTGGAATGAATGAAATCCCACCCAAAAAGAAAAAAATTGTTTCTTGCCAAGGGAACTACCTTACAGAACCAGAACAAGATACCGAACAGCAAATCATCATAAAAAAAAAAGTTAACTCAAGGTTAAAATCGGTAGAATCAAGCACACTAATCAAATAATCCCAAAAAAAGCGCATAAAACCCATCTTACCTAGGTAAATCTTGATGCAATCTTTGGCCTCCAGTCCAGCATCTGCTCCCAAATCGACGAAAACAAACAAAATCAATGAATTTAGGGCAGAAACAGAAATAAAAATTGAAATTCGAGTAGAATACGTGGAACTATGGAAGTGCATTCTAAAAACAACAGAAACATAACTGAGGAAACGGAAGCCAGGACTCACCGACGCTGGAGAAGCCGACGCGACGTCGTTTCTTAGGTTCGGTGGCGGTGGGATCGGCGGAGGCTCCTTGCTTCTGCACCATTTTTCGAATTAGGGTTTCCGGAAATGGAAATGGGAGGGACAGAGGCGGGAAAACTACACTGTTGCAAATTGGGACGTCTGTGATATTTATAGCGGAAGTTGGTGAAGATAACTCTCAGGTGCAATGCACGTGTTACCCGTTCCAATTTTTATATTTTTGTTTTGTCAAAATTCCAATTTTCCAAATGTTGAATTTCACTAGTGTACACACTGTTCAGCTCGGTTTAGTTTGGTCTAGTCTCTTTTGGAACCTGAAACTCAAATCGAATCATATAAAATATTCAGATTTGAAGTTGAACAATAAGAGTCATATCAATACAATCAAACCCAATCAAACCAATAAAAAATATTTAGTGTGGTCGGTTTAGATTCGGTTTGAGTTTATGTCAGAAATATCGTATTTATCCCTTCGTTTTGAGATTGTTTTGGATCTTAAAAACCAAATTAAACAAAGATTCCAAGTTTCCAACAACGAAATCGATCGCACACGCTTCAGCCTTTGTCTAACTTCAATACTCGAAGGAAACCGATTTATGCAAGTATTTTAAGAACCAAATTCTTGTAAGGTACATCGGGCTGGTTTGGCACGCATCGACTTCAATTAGTTAGAAAAAAATGAAGTGACGCATCGACTTCAATTAGTCAGAAAAAAATGAAGTGACAGATAAATTTTGGTTTAAACTGTCATTCATTAACCATATAACCATAAGCCATCTTGCAATGAAATAGCCAAAGCGAACCATTCATATGCACGTGTAGAAATTGCAACACTGAGCTCCATATGATTGAGATATTTCTAAAAACTAGATTGCATTACGAAAAATCTTCAGCAAAATTTGGCGACAGAAACAAAGCACTATCCTTCCCTTGTTCAGTCAAGGGGCTAGTCTTAATGTTCATCAAGAGAAAATACAAGATCTAAAACCGGAAATCATGTCTCTCCTTGGACCTGGAAAAGGGAACTAAACACCAAACGAACACAACGACGACACATTTTTACCCTCACTTCCTACCGGGGGTCTTGACAGCCTGCCTGTTCCTCTTCTTCACACCAGACTTGGCAACCCTGAGACTCTTGTGAACGGCACTGAGCCTGGCAAGGGCAGCTCTCTTCAAATCAGGTCTGTAGAAGTTATCCGCAACCTGTAACAAGTTGAAATCAAATAACTATTCAGTGAGTGCGGAATTCAATCCAAGTTTGCATTGTGCAATGAGATAAATAAGAGGGATCACATAATCTGGCATGGACATTCAACCCTATAGTTCAATTATCGTTGCATGATTTACATCAACCTATGTAATCATCTAAGAAACATGTATGCATGAGCGAGAGAGAGAGAGAGAGAGAGAGTGTGTGTGTTCATATTTCGGGTAGCCTAGGAAGCATGGACACTAAACGAATTGGAAAAGTCATTACTTTACTGAGAGGTTTTCACAGGGAAAAAACAATGTAAGCATTTCAAATGTAACAGAACACAAACTACACTACTTTAAAACTATGGTCTTCGAAATTGGATGAACATCTGAAAACAAGATATAACAATACAGTTTTTAAGACAGGCCTGAAACGCGAATTTCCATTTTACTTCAGGTGTCGCTAATGTATTCAGGTCTTCAAAAACCATATCAATCATCACTCAATCACTCAACAAAACATATATATATATATATATGCCAATCTAAGTGAAACTTATAAAAAAATAAAACAAAACAAAAGCCCAAATTATATTAGCTAAAGAGGGTGCTCAGAAGCCAAGCGTAACAAATGTATTTCATCGAAAATCCCACACAAAGCAGGATTTTCTTACGTGTTAGCTGCTCATCACTGCTAAAGTAACTACATAGCACATTACACATGAACAACTAGGGCTACGCACAGATGATAATATGGCAACAAAATTGCGATTACAATCAATTTAATCCAAGGATTATTGAAATTAAGCATATCGATAATTCGACTCATAAAGCAATACTCAATTAGCTAAATCCAAAGCTTATGCTAATCACATTGTCAATTACCTGATTGGTAACAGCCTTGGCGGCGCGGGGAAACTCCTTTCGGATCACAGACTTGTGAAGCAGACTGGCGGGCTTGTTCTGCTTCTTGGTCTTGGTGGTGGCGAGCACCACAGACTGGTCTTTGCCTCCTGCCTGAATAGTAACCGTCTTCTTGTTCGCCAAACCTAGAAATCGCCACCGAAACAAACAAAAGGTTAGAACGACGATTCGGCTTCCTGAGGTTTTACATTTTTTGTATTTTCCCGGGAAACTAAAAGAAGGTAAGAAAGGAAAATATACCGGAATGCTTGTAGGAATGGAGGTTGTAGAGGTTGTTGGGCTCCTTGCTGAAGCGGACACCGGCGTTGCCGCGGCCGAACTCCTTCACCAAGAAGGAGTTGTTCTTCTTCACGATCTCCCAGATCAGTTGTCCCGGAACGGTCGTCATCGCACCTGGATTCCGCTACTGCAAAAATCACAAGAAAAATCAACGGCTCAGATTCAACACCGAGACCAAAAATGATTCGACAGAAACCGTGATCTGAGTCAACGGAGAGACAGAAATTGAATCGGAGCTCGAAGATCTCGGCGATGGCGGTGGACTTACGTTTGCAGAGGGAGAGAGAGCGACTGAGTGAGGGAAGGAGGCTCCGTGGGTTTACCAGTGTAGCTTCTCAAGATTTCGTTTATATAGTCGTCGTTTACAAAAACCCTACGCACTTAAAACGATCAGCTGAGAATGTAAATGACGACCTTTATAATTGTAAAGTCACGATGCGTTAACAATACCGGCCGTTTGGTCTAGTGGTATGATTCTTGCTTTGGGTGCAAGAGGTCCCGAGTTCGATTCTCGGAACGGCCCTTTTTTTAACTCTACTTAATTACTTTTTATTTTTTTCTCATCAGAATTATTTTTTATATTATTATTAAAGTCGAAATTACAGCTTTGCCACTCAGCTCGAAGCACCGAGCCCATAACGCTACCCTGCTCCAAGTCCCTTGCTTTCTCCCTTCCACAACCCATCGCGGCGGCCGTTTTTCTCTGCTCCCCATTTGCCTCTCCCTCTCTTGCGGTAAGATTTTTGCCCTTCCTCTTAATTTCCAAAAATATATGAAATTTAAACTGATGGGATTAAAAAGGTGAGAACTTTGGTTCGTTGAAATGCCTTCCTCTTTTCTTTTTTAAAGTCCGTTAAGCTTAACTGAATTTTTTATATGTTGTTTTACTTGTTTATTCTTGCTTAATTGTTCCTGTCGTTGTTTTCGTTCACGTTGTGCATTGCTTTCTTAACATTTGTACTTTATTATGGAAGTTTAGCGCCCGTTGGATAACCATTTTTTGCTTTTTAGTTTTTAGTTTTCATTTTTTTTAGGGCCCGTTTGATAATCGTTTGATGATGAATTCTGCATTTTTGTGCTAGTTTTATTTAGGGCCCCGTTTGATAATCGCTTGATGATGAATTCTGCATTTTTGTGCATATTTAATCCGTAATCCAACCTAACATGAATTTGGATTGGACTGCATTGAGTGCAGATTACTCAGTGAGTGAGCCAAAAGCTGTCCTAATTACAAAGAAACCACATTAGTAGCAGAATACAGTTTTGGAATCAGTTAGTGAAGCAATGGAAGATAACCGGTTGGCATCCGTGCACTCTACAGTGTTCAAAGAGTCAGAGGATTTGCAAGGCCAAAGCACCGAAATTGAAGGATATGATTTCAATCAGGGAGTAGACTACGCTCGCCTCATGAGCTCCATGCTCTCCACTGGCTTTCAAGCCTCTAATCTTGGAGATGCCATTCAAGTCGTCAACCAAATGGTAAGTTTCTCTTACCAAACTGACCTAGTTGTCTTTTAATTTTTGACCTAACCATTATTTTTATTGCACTGAAGCTAGATTGGAGGCTAGCAGATGAGGCTATAGATGAAGATTGCAGTGCGGAGGAGAGGGATATGAAATACAGAAAGTCGGTGAAATGCAAAGTGTTCCTAGGTTTTACTTCGAATTTGGTTTCGTCAGGGATTAGAGATACAATTCGGTTCTTGGTAGAGCACCATATGGTGGATGTTGTGGTTTCAACTGCTGGTGGTATAGAGGAAGATCTAATTAAATGCCTTGCACCCACTTATAGAGGTGATTTCTCTCTGCCGGGCGCACATTTGCGGTCAAAAGGCTTGAATCGTATTGGTAATTTGCTTGTTCCTAATGGAAACTACTGCAAATTTGAGGATTGGATCATACCAATTTTCAACCAGATGTTGAAGGAACAAACTGAGCAGGCATGGATTCAAATATAATGATAACTTTCTTTTCACGTTAGTTTTTTTGGAGGTGTGGTGTAGTGGTTAGGCTGTGATCAAAATGGTTTTTTCTAATTGTTTTTTCTTTTAGCAGAACGTATTGTGGACTCCGTCTAAATTGATTGCACGCTTGGGAAGGAAATAAATGATCGACGTTCATACCTGTATTGGGCATACAAGGCAAGAAGTCATCCTAATCAAGCACTTTATATTTAGCTCTTAAGCTTCTATAGTATGTTTGCCTCATGAATTATGTGTTTTACAATCTGAATTTGCTTGGATGAGCATGCATAGACACAGCGTCTTGTGAAATTGTATTTTGATGAGTAGAGAGATTAGAAATGGTTATTTGTGGTCTCAGGGGTCAGTTTTCAGGATTTCAAAATGGTACTGTCAATTAGTACTGCAGGTTGCGTTTTAAAACTTGTTTCTATGAAATTAGTGACAGTTCACTTATATTTGGTATGTTTTTGTGGTTTCTTTCCAGAACAATATCCCAGTTTACTGTCCGGGCTTAACAGATGGCTCACTGGGAGATATGTTGTACTTTCATTCTTTCCGCAGCCCAGGTCTGATCATTGACATAGTGCAAGGTACGTTGCTCATTTACATTGTCATTGCAGCTCATAATATACTTGGGAAATGAATCACATGATAGTATGCCTTTGAACAGATATTAGGGCCATTAATGGTGAAGCTGTTCATGCAAGCCCAAGGAAGACTGGAATGATCATTCTCGGAGGGGGAATGCCCAAACATCACATTTGCAATGCCAATATGTTCCGTAATGGTGCGGATTATGCTGTCTTCATTAATACTGCACAAGAGTTTGATGGGAGTGATTCTGGAGCTCGTCCTGACGAGGCTGTATCATGGGGGAAAATACGGGGTTCTGCCAAAACCGTCAAGGTATTACTTAATTTAACCCATATCTATGCTAAGTTTTCTCATTGCGTTCTGTCATGTCCTTGCATTCTTGAATATGTCATCCTCGTTTCTGTTGTAGTATCATTTGATTATTGTCCACCTTTTTTTATTGGTTGAACCAGGTGCATTGCGATGCAACAATTGCTTTCCCTCTGCTGGTTGCTGAAACATTTGCAAAGAACGCTGTCCAGACTACGACTTGATACAGGTTTTGATTGTGAAGATTGATTTGTAGTTTACGGTTTTTACATGATAAGACTGTTAACATCGGGTTAGAACGCATTCTGATGGCGCATTTCTTCCCTGTATGTAAGATTAAATTGATTTACATTATCGTGGAGGTTGAGACTTTAGGAGTGAATTAGGAAACTCCGGCTTCCTCAATTCTCCTTGCTTTAAATTTCCTAGCTATGTTTTAATTGAACTACGAAATAAGAAATTTTGGTAGACGAATTCGTCTAATTTCGAACAAGCCTACCCTGTTTCGTTTAATTCAATTTTGGTTTGAATGATCTTCGAACCTCGGTTTGCCATTTCATTTCGTAACTGCAAAGATGAAGTTGTTTATGCCTCGTTACACATGTAAGGCCTTACAAAGTAGGCCAGAAAAAGTGCACGTTATACCAACATATATATGAATCGCACTTTTACGGTGGGCCGGAAAATTTGAGTAATACCAATTTATTCATGAGTATGATACCAATATATTGAACTGCCGTTGTAAATCAAACCACTCAGGCATTGTGCCCACCTCTTGGCACCCGAGTTTGAAAAACAAATTACAACAGAAATTCACAAATTAACAAGATATTATATTCAATTCTCGTCTCCAACTTCAGAAAATTAGGGGACAAAACCTATATGTATTTTATTACAGAACTCTTTAACAAATGTAATCTCATCATATTTGCAATGGTCTGGAAAATATAAGACTCAATTTCGACGCGAAGTAACGATACAGCTATCAAGGCTTTACTTGACGATCATACAAAATTCAAGCATATCAAAGAATAACAAACCCTGATATAATCACATGAAAATGTATCCTATATACGTATGTGGTAATAACTATGTTTACTGTCGATTCTGCCGGAGAGCCATAAACCTGGCGATTATGTCATCAGAGTCGGGAAGCTTTGGGTGAACATGAGAAACTTTCTCCTTTGGTGGACTCTCTGTAGAACCTGAGGACTTTGATGTTTCGATCTTTCGAGAATTTTCAGATGATTGCTCCCTTGCAAATGGCTTTGAGGTCTCTACATGGGAGGAGGGCCTCTTGGATTCCGAAACTGGTTTAGGCGCTGCTTGTTCTACCTGTCTTCCTGGGCGCTCTGAACTCTTGGTCTGTGACGAGGGATTTGGTAGGGTCTCAGAAGCATATGCACTTCTTGAAGAAGGGTTTCCATATGACTTAGAAGTCTCTACATCTTCAGGTGAAGGACTCTTGGATTCTCGAATTGGTTTAGGAGCTGCTTGTTCTGCTGGTCTATGCCACTCCTGACTTCCTGGACGCTCTGAGCTCCTGGTCTGCGAGGAGGGCTTTGGTAGACTTTCAGCGGCATAGGAGCTTCTTGACAAGGGGTTTCCATATGACTTTGAAGTCTCCACAAGTGAGGATCTCTTGGACTCTGGCATTGGTTTAGGAGCTGCTTGTTCTACCGGTTTATGCCACTCCTGACTTCCTGGACGATCTGAGCTCTTCGTCTGGGACAAGGACTTTGGTAAAGTTTCAGTGGCATTGGAACTCCTTGAAATGGAGTTTCTGTTTGAATTTGAAGTCTCTACAGGTGATGTCCTCTTGGATTCTCGTACTGGTTTAGGAGCAACTTGTTCTACAGGTATATTCCACTCCTGCTTTGGGCTCTTGATCTGGGATGAGGGCTTTAGTACAGTTTCAGTGTCATATGAACTCCTTGAAGAGGGTTTTCCATACTCTGAAGTCCCTGACACGTCAGACACAATTGTTGTCTTTGAGCTAGAGCTTCTAACAGAATTTGAAGAAGACGGCTGTGTTCTTCTAGACAGTCTAGCATTTGGACGAGCATTGCTGGTGGAAATCTTTGTAAGAAGATCTTCCTCCGGTTCACTATCCTCTGAATCAAAGAAAGAAAACGTGGATTTGGAGCTTGCCTTTACTTCGGATCCCAATTTTTTATTGAATGAGTCTTGGCTACTTCTAGCAGTTCCGTGTGACAATTCATCCTCAGAAGAATCATCATCAGAAGCCACATATGAGACGGGGGTTCTCGTGCTCCGTTCCTTTATCAGTTTGTTGCTCCCTTGCTCCCTTTCAGAGACAACAGAAGTCCTGACTGATGGAAAGAAGGAAGGTTGCTCAACCTTGGTATCTTCAGTATCTTGTTTGACAGACAATAAGTTTCCTGGTAGTTTCTTTGTATACGGTGGATGCCTTAAACCCTTATTTCGTAGCCCACCTGTCAACATCCCTAAGCTCAGCTCATTGTCAGTGTCACTTACACAACTACATCCATCTGAAACCTCACTATCTTTCATAGTTTGATGCAAATGTGTCGTTTGAAAATCGTCCCTGGCATTTGAATCTATTCCAGATTTCCTTAGCCTTACAGATGGCTGACCAGTAGGCAATTCATCAAAATCATACCTTTCCTCCGGGACGATTCTATTTTTGACTCCTTGGCTTCTCTCGGGATCTGCTTCAGTTGAGTCCCAATTATGAGATGAAAGCAGCAACCCTGGCTTTCTGTTAGAACCCACATTTATCTCCTCCGAGGATGAAGATACAAATGACCTACGACTTGCACTTTGGCTCTGCACAGGGGAAAATTTAGAAACTGTGCTCTTGGCAAGCTTGTCTACCTCCTCTTCACTGTCTGAACTTGGGCCATCTGACGCATCAAAAGCAACAGGCAACAAGTCATTTGGTTGTGAAGAGTCCATGGAACCCGTTGAATTTTCTGAAAAAACAGGAGGGGATTGCTTCACCGATGAAGAACTTAGTTGTGAACTGGAATTAAATTGTACTTCATGCGTCTGTTGTTTAGAGCTCCAAGGATCCAAACTAGCTGAAGGAGAAAATGAGTTTCTATCAGGAGAAGGAAAAACCAAACTGGGTTCTTGGTCCTTGTAGTCCTCCACATCAAATTTACATTTATCGTCGTCTGAACCAGATTCATCAAAAACCAAAGGAGCATTTCCATCAGAACTTATTTCCTTTGTGCTTTCGAAGATATTAACATCGTTAACAAAAGAATCCTCATCACAGCCATTTGAATCACTTTCATGATCATTACTAAAATCTCTTGCATGAGAATGAGAGGAAGACCAGACAGATTGTTCTCCACCCCTCTTATTTCCCAAATAAGAAATATCGTCACTCCGTCTTAAAACATCTTCCTGATCATCACTGCCAATGCTTGAATTAGATCGGGAGGAAGGCCAACTAGATTTCTCTTCAGATCTCATATCACCAAAATAAGCAACATTATCAGGTTTGTTTCCAGTTTGCATCTCACTCCCATACTCCACACCAGTGTTGCTCGACTGTCTCTTCACACTCAATTTACCTATAGGATTGGATCGGGAAGGTCTACTTGATTTCTCTTCTGATCTCATATTACCCAAATAAGAAGTTTTATCAGGTTTCATTCCAGTTTGCACCTCACTTGCATACACGTTAGTGTTGCTGGACTGTCTTGTCGTACTCACTTCACTTACAAAGTCATGCTTCTCGGGTTCAGATGACTTCTTTTGAGGATATCGATCTGACACTTCATCAGGATGTCGATCTTGCATTTGGTGACTATTCACTGAAGGATCATTTGTGGATGTTCTATTAGATGCCAAGGGAGCTGACTGGCTAAATTTATCCCATGATTCTGAAGAGTGTTTTCTTGAAAGTTCAGCAGCTGCTCTGGCAGCCATGCCTGCCATTTCTGCTGATTCAGCAGCTGCCTGAGCTGCAGAAGCAGCATCCTTAAAATGCATGTTCCAACTCTGCCTACCCGGTGAAGAAGAATTTCCATCCCCAGGAGACGAATGTCTATTTTCCATCCCATCATTTTGATTTCCTGCGTGGGAATGTCAAATTAAGAATGAATGAGACAGGAGAAAATAAAAATACCACTCGTAAATAATAAACTTATTAAACCACCATCTTCCAATGATTATTGATGTACCTGAAGATCTCACTTCTGAATGAAATGAGCCAGATGTCGTTGCTTTGTTGGAAGAAACATTTGAAGAAGCAGAATCCTGGAAGTGAGGTGCAGATCTTGCATTCTGCTTGTTAAAGTTCGTGGGTGGACCATAATTCCCATAATTTTGAGGTGGAGCCTGAACACTAGAAGGTGCCTTGACATCATGATTAGGAGGAGGTGGGCCACGAGGAGGTTCCTCAGGAATTCTAGCAAAAGTATTTGGCCCATTCTGCTCAAATGTCAAAAAGTATAGCGATAAATGGATGTGTCTTAAACAATGAAATGTAATGCGACTAAAGTGAAACTCTAGTTTTATGATATCTATGTATTCTCAAGCAATGAATGGACCAGGCTAGAGGGGAACAAATCTTACCAGCAAGTCCTCTGGAAGCTTGGACTCTTTCTCTTCAAAGGATTCAGGATCCCATTTGACATTATGTTCCTCTGCAATTGCAGCCAAGATTTTCATCTTGGCAGGGCCATCGGGTGATTTGGTAGATAACTTCTCCACTAACTGACACGATAATATTAATTAATAAATAAAAAGATCAATAAAACTAATCTACTGGGTGCTGACTTTAGTTTTGACAAGTCCATCAACATTCTGTAATTGGCCCGATAAAAAATAGTTGTTTCTCCTATGCTATGAATATAAAGAACCTTTAAAATTATCCAGGAAATTGCACAAGGTACATACCATGCGACTGACACCACAATCCGGGCGCAATTCAACAGCGTTAGAGATAAACTCCTTCCCATATTTAGATGTGAAATGCTTGCGAATATCCATGAGTTCTGGTATGTCTGCGCATCTTGGAGATGCAAATACTACACTTGCAATTGCTTCCTTCAGATCAATGGGGCAGTTTCTGTAAAAATATAAAACAAATCCTTAGTTGCAAGAACACTAATAGTACTAGATTCATGAATAAGCTATGAACCTATCATAAAATAGTAAAATACACAATGTTAAGGGAAGCACTGACAACAGACCATGTAACTGATGCATAACAAAACACAGCTTAGTTTAAGCATAAGAGCATATGAATGAATAAAAGATGCCAAAACCATTCAAGAATTAATGGATTTACATACTTTTGCGACTCAATCATAGGCAAGCGTGCAGCAATAAGTTCGCAATATATCTCGATAAGTTCGAATGCTGCCTTTATCTTCTCTTCTCTGACCACATGTTCAACCTGAGATACAGGATTCGCGTAAAAGTCAGCAAAAAAATGTACGTTAGCACACTGGAAATTCAACAAAAGTAGAGTCTGCTACTATAATCAGACATCAAATACAAACAGCCAGTGCAAGAAGTTCGGTTTTCTAATTCATTTCCTGGCCTTTCACGAGTGCCCCACCACACTTCAAAATTTTGCAAAACTGCGTATCCTCGCCCATTAAATCCATTTCAACCAACATAATCGGAAAACAAAACATATCATTACCTTCCTAAAATGCAATATTCATAACAGGTCCTCCAAATTAAACAAACTAGTGAACAATGCAAAGTCCAATCGCTTTGAACTCGAAATCTATTCATCGTTAGTACAAATATTGTCAAGGCCAATAGGATCAAATCCATCAAGAAGCATACTCTACCATACAAGACCAAAACGTTGAATTTAAAATCTCAGGTAGAGAAAAACCGAAAAAAAAAAAAAAACAAAAGTTCAATTGCAATTAGATATGATGATCAAGACAAACCCGAATTCTAGCAGTCCGGTCCTGACCAGTCTCAAGCAACTGGGCCAATTCCCTCCTCATCTGCTTCACTTGTGCATCCTTCTTGTTCTTCAATAGCTTTATCCGTGAAACCGCAAGCTTTAATGCCGTTTTGCTGCACCAAAAACCCGCCAAAATCCATCAATACAACAATAAAAATTCGCATACTTACTTAATTTTCGATGATAAAAACTCAAAATTCCACAGTGGCTGAGTCAACCCGCGCAAATTCATCACGTAATTACAGAACTCTGTTCCAATTTTCCCTTCTCTTCCCCTAGGATTCTCGGAAACCAAACAGGTCGTTGAAAATTACAAAAAAATAAGGAGAAAAATTACCATTTGGCAGGCTTGAAGCTCTTGTGAAGCATGGTGAATTCAAATTGAGAATCTTCAAAACCGAAAGCTCCGAAATCGCGAAACTTATACGAATTTAATTTTTTTTTTTTTCTGAATTTTTCTGAGAGCGTAAGAAATCGAGATGGCGTTTTGATTCAGGGAAGCGTGTGACAATATTATTACAAATTGGAATTTTTTGGAGATGGTTGGGATTAATAAAAAGGAATCAGAGGAACTCTTACACAGCGTTTGAATGACTAAACTTGAGATTAATAAAGGAATTCTAAAATACCGCATCGAAACGAGATAATTTTATTTTTATTTAATTTTGTGTATAGTTAAATTTGATGTTGTCGTCCATTGCACATGCCCAAAGCCGTCATTGTATGTGATGATGACCGCAACCATGCCAGTGGGTGACGATGAGGATGAAGATCCTCGTCGCATCTTCTTTGTGAAAATTCTTACCGGATTTTGTGTGTGAGGATCCAAAGAATTCTTCAATTACATCCATTCATCGTACATTATACAGTCAGTTTTTGTTTAGTATTGTTTATATTCAATTTTAAATAAAAAAATTTATAATGATTTTCAACTGCACGATGTATTATGAACGAATGTGATTTGAAGATTCCTAAAATCTTCACGAAGAGGATCTAACGAGGATCCTCTCTCATGATGATGGGTGTCAATTTGAGTATTTTGTTACTTATTATGGCGTTGTCATTTCATAGCCTCGTATGAGTTATCTTTTGTTTCTTTTGTTTTAGCCTACACCCGTTACCGTTACTTACATGTCTCTCACATATAAGCTCACGTGAGGACATGTGCTACCACATGACACAGCTAATGCGAGAGACGCATACGGTGTAATCAAAACTTTTTTATGCAACTCTTTCATATGAGTTGAGAAGCAATTCAAGCATCAGGAATTCAGGAGATCACAGCCTACGATCACTTTTCCTATAGTTCTAGTTACATAATTTGTCACGTAATCAACTTACGTGATGAGAAATATAGAAAGATCAATATATTTTCGAGACAACCAAGAATCTCCCGACAAACGCCGGTTTGACTTGTCATGGAATAGAGCCAACTTGTGAGCAAAGCATTCATTCACCAAGTGGCGTGGATAAGTTTAGAATGGTAGCCAGATATAATTAATGCCAGCAAAAGTTGTTAAAGTATGTGCTTTCAGGTGGGCGCCAACTTTCTTCGCCTAAACTGTTTACTTTAATCGAAATTGACTTCGTAAATTATTATTTTTTATAAATTAAGGACCTAAACTTTTGAAAAGTAGCCAATTTACCTCTACTGTTGGACTCCATCCGCATTTCCGTCCAACTGAAATTAGTCGCCTTGGACCAACCAATAAAAACCGGATTCTTTTTTTAGGAGTCATGTAATCATGATCGTTAATCGTACATCTTGTGGTCAATTTTTATTAAATACTATTTATATTTAATTTTAAATTTAAATTTTGAAATAATTTCTGATCGCACGATGTACGATAAACTGTCACAATCATGAGATTCCTAGGATTTTCAGAAAAATGATCCGGCGATGATCATTTTCCTAAAAATAGAACACATGAACTAATATATATCTTTAGTAAATTCCAAACTTCAAAATTTTGAAACTAATTATATTCTTAATTAACAACAAATTGGCAAGTGGTCATTTACCACAATAGTAGAAAAGAGTTGAGCTCTTATATGATGACGTGAGTTCGAATCCGTTAGTGGCTAATCTAACATCTAACCTAACAAAATTTATGTAATGTTCGGAGGTACAATTTCAACTAGGATGATAGTTCGGCAGTTCAAACATCAGTTTTACCATATATACAAATAGTAGGCGCATGGGTCTTACAAGGACACTGCTGAGTAAATCTAATCATCTCATGGCACTTCACATTCGTCCGGAAAAACTTACCTGCAGCATGTTGTATGAAACATTGTCCCGGTCTCTCTGTGACGCTTCAAGAAATATAGGTATTCAGATGAGCATTGCTGGTGGAAATCTTTCTAGGAAGATCTTACTCAGACTCACTATCATCCGAGTTAAAGTAAGCAAACAAGGAGCTTGAGTTCGTCTTTAGTTCAGATGCCTGGAGACCAAGCTTCCGCTTGGTTCCGCTTCTAAGATAAACCTAAATACCTACCAAGATAACATTCTTCCGAACATAATCACAACATTATCACCAAAAAGAAAAAATCAGAGCGAATCCAACTCGCTTCCTGTACATTACACACAGTAAGAGAATTTTTGGGGCTAACCAATTGTCGAATTCATGTCAATCGTCACATAGTTCTGGAATAAGAATCAAATGTAAAAACGAAGGAATAAGAGTCAGTAACGCAACACAAAATCAGGTATCTGAGGATCCATTTACTTGATCATAGTTAGTTCATTTATATCAAAAGTGTTCCACTCCCCTTTTTACGGGTGTTGGAGATAAATTGTAGGTAGGGGTGCTATATATGATTCCACTCCTGGAAATGTCTCTCTTCTTCGGCAAATCAGAGTTCAAGCTTTGAGTTGCCAAACTGGCTCAGTAAGATAGCCAAATCCATACCCTGTACCATAGTAGGCACAGCGGTATTATAAGGACACTGCTTAGAAAATCCAACCTTCCCAGATTTATGTACTTTCTTTATGCAGCGCTTGAACTTCTCGTGGCATTTTATATCGGTCATACCTATAAAACCAACATATTCCTAGAATCAGAGGACCTTCAACTACAATCATCCATATACAGACCAGAACCAAATGCCAAGAACAAACAACATTATGTGCATAATTCACGACAAACTGCCCAAGCATTGTACTGTCTACTCTATAATATATCCAACTCACGGTTGCACAAAACCAACACATCGACCCACCAATTAAGCACCAAGTTTAAAGTACCTTCTCACAGGGAAATATCCCCGCCGTTTCTATCTCACTCATCATGAGGATGAATCCTTCCTCAGTGTAAGTTAATCTCCCGAGGGAGAGCAGCTCACTGGGATATACATATACTCCCACTCTCCCTAATCCCTACCTCACTCATCACTTGCTAAACAAAAACCAACTTGCTTTGTACAAGAAGTGCCTTACATTATAGCAGAGCAGGCCTAGAATTTAACCAAGTACATGTTGGTTTTTGTTCATCCTTTACGATCCTTCGGCAAAATAAAATCATAACCATTTCAACAGAACAACAACCAAATAGTTTTTTTATCATAATTATCCCAATTCATCACTACATTCGAATAATAGAAAGATCGATTCTTTCTGCCATCAAAAGGCCAAACACATTTGACATTTTATTTCCAATTCATCCAAAAATCAAGTTTCCAAAGCTTATCAAATCACTGAAGCAACTGAAACAACCACATTCCAACAACACAGAAAAATGATACTTTTTAAACTTCCAAAATTCCAACAACGAAGAAAAATGATAATTTATACTTCCAAAATTCCAACAACACAAAAATGAAGTAAAATTGCTACCTTTGTTGCCAACACAATCGTCATGAATCTTGCAGCACGCGTCAAGATCATCGCAGGGCTGCTCTCCCGGGCAGCCGGTCCACCCTACCCCGCAGTACTTCCCGTATCGAATCCCAACCGCTAAGTTTACAAATAACAACGAATTAAAATCAAATACAAATTAAAAATACCGAAAAAAATTAGAATTTTGAGAAATTAACTAGGCAGTAGAGAGATTGAGCTCACAATTACAGTTCTCCGCCACGCAGATTCGGCTGCAATTCACCTGAAAATTCCAGAAGCCTCGTTTTATAAACAATTTACTCAATATTTTTTTCCAAATTTGTGGGAAGAGAGGATATTTTACCTCCGAATTATTGTCGGAACAGTGGGCGACGACGGCGAGGGAGAAAATAGCGACGGCGAATGCGGCGGAGAACTGTGTCGTGCGATGGAGGCCGGCGTCTCGCGACATTGACGCCATTGTTGTCGCTCGCGTTTTAGCTTTTTGGGCTCAACGGGTTTACCAGAAATTGAAGCCCTCGGCGCCTTCTCCCCTCGAGAAGTTTCCGCGTAATACTTCTGTCGTTTCCTTGTGTGCAGATCTGTCGGTTTCTCATTCGCCGAATGACGTCGAATGATTTTACAGAAGTGCCCTTCGCTGGTCCCCCGCTGCCGTATTTGTTTTTTTTTGTATTGAGAATGAATCAATTATATAATTTTTGTAATAATAAATCTTTCCTAGATTTGCTTTTGATTTGTGTTGGATTTTGGTTTTGAGGAGATAATTTATTAATAATTTAATGTGTTATTAGCACTTCAAATATTATCAATATTTCAAAATAAATTATCATGCCTTTGTTTTTTTGTGATAAAACAGTATTGAGGGTTAGACTAAATCATACAATGAACGACCAATAATTTTGTTCTGAACTCGCTACAACGTTTTTTCCACTATTAAATTGGTACATTAATATTGTAATAAAAAATGATAACCACACATTCTTTTTAGCTTTCTCACACACCCTTGTTTAATCTTGTTTGTTATTTTCGTTTAATTTTTCAATCCGACAATCAAGAATGAAGAGGGATGTGTAAAAATCACCTCTATAATAAGGAGGAGCACATGATAAGTGACTATAAGCAATGGAGTGCTCTGTTTTGGATACTAACAATAGCTCCAGAAAAAATTATACAACTATTAAGGATAGCCATACGTGAAAATCAGTTAACAGAAGTATAATGCCAAAGTAGAATGGTTGGTTTCCAACTTTACTTTCTAGTCATCGGGGTTCGACGCCCCCCTGATGGGGAGCGTCGAACAAGTCAGAGTGATTCCAACAAGAAATACAAGCTCTGTTGATGGCTAACCGAACAACATTCATGATTCCGGAAAAAAGATAACCGAACAACATCCCATTCAAGTTACTTTCAGATACATTTGATTATTATGGCTGTCAAACTTGCCCACCGATTTCTCAGCTTCAAAAATTCGACTAGGAAAACGAAAAATTTCAAGTACAGTACTCGCGGTTCAGATCAACCACAAATGACGAGAAAGGCTTACACGTGCAATCCCAAGAAACATTTACCTTATGGTTGCTCTTAGACATAGTAACCGGTGAAAGTAAATCCCCTTCCAACAATCTCACCGGCACAAAACCATGCAAAGCATTCCAGCCCAAACAAAGCAGCAATTCCAGCATCTTCAACCTTCAACTCCTTCCTATTCTTCCACAAATGCTTGACATAATCAACTTCCTTCCAGAATGACTCGGTACGACCAGGAATACTGTATGTAGTGGAAAATGAGTCAGTTATAGTCATACAACTAAGATGTCGTTGCAATGAAAAAGAATGAAAATAGGCAGATGCGGTATCAGATGCATTCTGAATTGATGGTTTCTAAGTTGCACAAATATAGCCGAGCCCTTATGAAAATCAAAATCAAACCATTGAGTTCCCATGAAAGATTGTAATTCAAGGATGTATCCAAATCATTCAGACTATTGTAATAAGTTCTAGTACCACATCCTGGATCTAGAAAGCAAATCAGTAATTGAATACCCAGTGCTAGACCATATGCAACATGAACAATTCCTATTAGTCTCAACTCTAGCAATAATTTTTTTCGCTAACTTTTTTCGCAGACCACCTAAAGTTCCAACTAAAAAGGTGAAATAATTTGTCATTATCTCAATAGAAGTACAGATCCTACCAATAAAGTTCCAACTTAAAAGGTCAAATGATCTGTCATTATCTCAATTGATACTTCAACTAGTCCCCGTGTTCCTTGAATGGATCAACATAGACCTCATCCAGTTTCTTAAGCACTTGAAAACTTCATAAAACTTTTTAGCACAAAGATATAGGAGCAAAGACAATGCACTTTTCTTAGCTTCTTCACAGAGCACATATTTTTATTATAAAAAATAAAAAATAAATGGAGGCAATACAAACAAGTAACCCAATCTACATGCTTCTCCTTCGATTAAAAAATCTGCATCAACATCAAATTCACGTTTCGGAGCTTTAAAAAGTTGCTTTCTTTTCTTTCTTCTCAAAAGAAATCCTACTTCGAGCAGATAAATGAAAGAAATCTAATACGCAAACATGTATTAAAATGTAAACATTTTCTTCATAAAGTTCTAAATTTTGATCCTAATGTTGACAAGACTGTCTCTAAAATCATCTACCCTATCGTTGTGCGCGATAATAATGTCTACACAATAATTTTCACTCAATTTACTTATTTGTAGTCATACATTTTAGTTACCATGGTCAGGCTGTTTACATTTTAGTTACCATGGTCAGGCTGTTTAGGAAGTAAGAAAGGTGCTAAAACTTTCAAAAGTAAGACTGCGATACAATGGATCATATCGTCCACATGGATGCAACAAAATACTAGCAGACTTAAATCTTGAAGAGCATTCAGTCAACATATATGAGACTTCTTTAATGGTCTTCACTCTACAACTCGTACCAGAGCCAGCCAAGTAATAACTAAATTCAGTCCTTAAACAAAAAAGGTTCAGAAGTATAACCTAGCAAGTCGAGTGTAAAACAATTGCTTGGACAACTCGTTGCACTTCTCCACGGTTGGTGGGTGCTGAATGTACTGCTTGTTCTGCTCTAACAACTGCTTGTAGTAGGTACCTCCATGTTGGGACACAAATTGTGTTGCTTGACAAGCCTTAGATTGCAACTGACGCAACTTCGATGCCATTGATCCCCAAATCAATCCTAAGTCACAATACAACCAATTACCCAATACAACAATCAGTTAATCGCCCCCCCTAAACTAAGTAAAATAACTACAATTCACCAAAAATAAGTAATCTTAGCACCACCCAAAACAAAAATTTCATCATTTTGCACCAAGCACAATAAACCCCCCTTTTTTTTTTTTTTTCTAAATTTACATAAAACCTAAGTTTTATCAGCCTCAAAGCAGAAAATTGACAATTGGGTATTGAGCTAAACCCTAATCATCGAGATTAAAACAAAATTAAATCAGCAGAAAACTTCATACGCTATAACAAATCAAATCTTTGCATCTGGGTCAAAAATCCCATATCAACCACATAGATTTTCATGCTCCGATTAAAAATTCAAAGCAAAACACCAAAAGGGTCAGTCCTAAATCGCAAGATCTAAACAAGCAAAAGCTTCAGAGCCATGAGAAAAATCAACAGATAGTGAATTGAACCAGGGAGAGCAAAATCTGAAGGGGTTTTACCTTCGCGTTCGTACTCCTGGATTCCAATGCAAATCCGAAGAGAGAGTGAGACTCTCCAAGTCCTTAGCTTCTCTTTGTGCTGCGGAGCGGCCTGCGTGCTTATGGTAGAGAACGTTTGGCATTCAGAGGTTTTAACATTTGGGCTTTCAGAGGTTTTAACATTTGGGCTTTCAGCTTTCTATTGAGGATGTTCGTGTAATTTTGACCAAAATGTGGGCTCTCGTTTGCCATCTCAGCTAACCTACAATCATTTTATCCATTTTGATAGGCCCATTTGCTCACCGAAAAACTGCATTTTGCTAACTTGCTAAGGGCTCGTTTGAAAATATATAATATAACTAAAAGCGCTTTTGGTGAAAATGATTTTAGAATCAAGCCTTAGTAAAAGTTCAAGTGGGTCCTAAAAAAACAATTTAAGTGCTTCTTCCAAAAAAAACACTTAAAGTGCCTTTAGAACTCAAAATTCATTTTACCAAAAGCGCTTTTAGTCATTTTAAAAGTACGTCAAACGAGCCCTAACTTTTTCAACACCCGTCAAACTCATGGAGGTATACAACATCATGAGTTTGCCAAGGCAGAAATCAATGACCATGATGTTTGATGATGTAGATGCCCATGCCAATGCAATGTTCCAATAACAATGACATTTCTAACTTACAAATGGACAGTTAATATAAAATTTTGGATGCAATATTTACATATATTTAATACAATTAGTATCTCAACAATTAGATGGTGATTGTATTAAATATATATATATATATATATATTCATATAGTTATATATGATCTTTAGATGATGATTGTATTAAATCTATGTAAGCATTGTAGCCAGTTCCATTAATGTGAACTTTAAAAAAATAAACAAACTCGTGTGGATTGAAGATGACGCATATCGACATTCATACTAAACCAACCATAAGTAGTAGCCAAGCATCGCCTTTAGTTTCATGATCGACCATCACCCAAGACTAATCATTTGCAGTGTTTGCCCAACCAATTTTTTTCATTTTTCTTTCTTTCAAAACAGCAGCTTGAGAACTCCAGCATGCATGACAATGACGGGACAATCAAGAAACCAGGAGTTTGGAACTTCAATAAAATAAAACCAACCAAATAACCCAAGAGAAATCGAGAACTGTCACGTCCCGACCCGGACCCCCACCATATTCGGGCTCGACTCCACCATAATACGATATTGTCCGCTTGAGAACTCAATCGAGAACTTCCTAGTGGGTCACCCATCATGGAATTACTTTGCGCGAACTCGCTTAACTTTAGAGTTCCGATGGAACCCGAAGTCAATGAGCTCCCAAAAAGCCTCATGCTAGGTAGAGATGGGAATATACATTTAAGGCTTACAGGATCTACTCCCCTGGGCGATGTGGGATGTTACAATCCACCCCCCTTAGGGGCCCGACGTCCTCGTCGGCACATTTCCAGCCAGGGATCGGCTCTGATACCAAATTGTTACATCCTAACCCGGGCCCCCACCACATCCTAAGCTCAACTCCACTGTAGCACGATATTATCCACTTTGGGCCCCGACCACGCCCTGACGGTTTTGTTTCTGGAAACTCAGACGAGAACTTCCCAGTGGGTCACCCATCATGAGATTGCTCTCACGCGAACTCGCCTAACTTCAGAGTTCCGATGGAACCCGAAGCCAATAAGCTCCCAAAAGGCCTCGTGCTAGGTAGAGATGAGAATATACGTATAAGGCTTATAGGATCCACTCTCCTAGACGATGTGGGATGTTACAAGAACAAGGAGAGAATAGAAGCGGAAGGCAAATCAAAACAAAAAATGTGGCGTTTGCACATTGTGTGCTATAATATGTGGTATTAAAATGTGATACGAGTAGCATAATAGTAATATTGTTCTAAAATCTTTAACTGTAATGCTATTAATATATGTCAGTTTTGTTTTGTATACAAAGTAAAACCAATATAGTAACCTTTTTTTATTCGAATTCATAACAATCACACAGTACAACAACGCAGGATAAATGGATAAAACAAGAAACCTTTGGTGCTTAAAAGAGCAACAAATATAGTAATTGTTAAAAGTATGAATTCTGCGTTGAAAGAAAAAATTATTTGTATGTATTTGTTTGTAAACAGCTAATTTAATAGGGGCCACTTCAATTATTTTACTAATTCCCCTCAAAGATTGGCCAGTGGCCAGAGTTATGGCTATTGGTCTGACAAGTAAATCTGTGGCCATGGCAACCATGGCCATTGACCTTCATTTTTAGAAGCGGTCAAAGGGACCTTGTATTTCTTTATTTAAACTCCTCTTTACATTGTCAATTAATTTAATAATAGAACACTGAAACCATACATTTTTATTTGGTCAAATCATTCTAAAATTCTCCATCATAAGCTCTTAAATACATTACTTAAGGGAATTGGTATTGACGCTCCAAATTTCTCATTCTATACTCCAAACTTTCTATATTTATAAAGAAAAATACACTTATGAGGAGTGTAGAATAAGATTTTTAAAGTGCTAATAATACTTCCATTACTTAAATAGAGAAAATAACCTAGAGACTTAATAAGAAATATACAGATACATAATAGTAAACTTCATAATTTCTGTCTAAAATGCGATATGTAAAATAAAATAATACATAATCAAATAGAAACTAACAAAGAACGAGCTGCCCTAATTTTTACTTTGGAGATGAGCTGCTGGAGGTTTCTTTCTTAAGAAAACTAATGAACATGACTTCAAAATCTTGAGTTTTAATCAAAAATCATCTTATAACTTTATTTAATGATAAGGACTAGAGAAAGAAAGAAAGAAAGAATAATATATATATATATAAATAAATAAAACCTAACTATAGGCGCATGCAAAGAGCACCCATCCAATCCTTTAGTTGCATAACCCTTTGACATAATCCAAGCATATTTTATTCTTCTAAAATTAAAATTTCAAATTGAAGAGAGGAAGCACATCTGGGGCAGTATGGTTGACAGGGAGTCGGTCATGTGTGGGTTGGGATAGTTGGGGGTAGGGGTGGGGCAACATCATTGACAACATCGTTGGACTCATCACCCATTTTCCTAGTAATGGTATTGAGCTATTAGCCATGCATGACTTTAATGGTGTGGATGTTAATCTCTATCATGTTTTTTATTTTTTTATTTATTTTATAATCTTTTTATTGAATTATGGTGAAAGAACTTGAAAATCTGGGACGAGCATCTACCGTTAAGTTTTATAAACAGTGTAGTATCATTAAGTTTCATAAACAGTGTAGAAAGTTTCATAAATAGTATCGTACCGTTAAATTTCATAAACAGTGTAGTACCATTAAGTTTCATAAACAGTGTAGTAAGTTTCATAAGCGGTGTAGTAAGTTTTATAAACAGTGTAGTAAGTTTCATAAGTAGTGCAGTAAGTTTCATAAACAGTGTAGTAAGTTTCATTAACAGTGTAGTACCATTAAGTTTCATAAACAATGTATTAAGTTTCATAAATAGTTTGTGTGAGAGTGCGCAAGTCCATGTCTTTTTTTTTTAATATTAAAATTATGTATTTTTCATTAAAATCTAAGTTTTTTGTCATTTTTATTAAAATTTAAGATTTTTTTCATTAAAATTTAAGGTTTTTTTTTTTCATTAAATAAAGTTATACCATGATTTTTTATTAAAATAAACTTAGTCTAAGCCATTTTCATGAAAGTTCTCTTTTTTCTTTGCTTAGCTGTAAATTGTGTTTGTGAGTGTTGCCTACAGTTATACGTGGCTTCACTTTTGTTATGGGTTTGTGTTCCTTAGTTTCGGATCTTTCACCATTGTTTTTGAAAATCCGCTATACGTGAGGGGACGTTTTTTAGAAAGAATTTCACATTGATGAAATGAGGGACTTTGCATGTACTTATAAGCAGTTAACAACTCTCCATATTGTCAATTGGTTTTACGGTGGAACTTCAACTTTCTTTGGAAGCTAGCTAGGTATTTTTGTTACACATATATATACATGGAGTCGAGATAAATACTTGTTGAGATCGTGTCACTAATTTGTGTAGATTATAATCAACTAACTTAGCCATGGAATAAAGATAATTTAAATACAGGGGTATAAGAACTACAAAGTGGACCTCGAGGTCGTGAGAATCCATGTGCAAAAACGCAACAGCTAGCATGAGATTTGCAAATGGTAGATGGACCTTCCTAACATGAAAAGAGAGAACGTGAAATATAGCTACTGACCGTATGACGACTACCAGTTCGACTTCAGCCTGCATTCAAGAGACAAGTATCAAACAAAATCTATACACAAGATACGGACCTTCAATTTTTTATATAATCAATGAGAATATTTCCCTATAAAATAAAACCTAGCTAATTTTCCATATTTGTATGGACACGAAACGTCTACTTTGTAAATTTTTAACATTATGGTCGTGACTTTCAATTTGCCGCGCGCGATCTAATTTCATTAGAAGTGCAGAATCACTTGCTAGCAGCCGATCGCCATAAACTAATTAGTTTGCTATATCAACTACGTATTAGTGAATTAGATAGGTAGATGATCAAGAAACCATGTCAGTTGTCAAGCTCTTTTGCTAGGAAAGTGTTTCACATTCCCAAGTGGATTCCAACTAATAACAGCGCAGCCAGCATGTAATGGAAGCACACCAGAAATTAGGGTTCTAGTACTTTTGACAAGGACAAGTCAATAGGACTGCCTAAAATTGCTATTTTTTCAAGCATCGCTCTCTAGCTAATCTAAATTAAAAACTAGAAAAAAGTTATGGGGCTCATATTAATTAATTATTGTGATTGGGATTTTCTTAATCCTTAGCAGCTAATTTGTCAACATCCTCAGAGTAAAAGGCCAAAGATGGTCACTTTATGTTGCTCATAAGGACTACAAACCACATATTAATTTGTGTAAATTTGGCTTTTGCCTCAATAATTTGGCCTACGCTAGGCTACAGCTAGTGCTACTGCATTTTGTTCAGCTATCCAAAAACGACCTTGATGATTGTAAGAGTTGGAAACTGTATCAATTTTAAAAAAGGTGTAATATCCACACATCTCATTTTACTTCTCATACATCTTTATAATTTTCGGCCGTCGGATTAGATAAATTAAAGAAGATCAACGAACAGAAATTAATAAGGGATGTGTAAGAA